TACCTGCGACTCAAGTCATGTCTAATTTGGAGTATACAGCAGATTCCATCATAGGTATACCCGCCCTCAAAATAATGTTGAATCAGTTCGTTTCTTATGAGAAATATTAAGGAATCAAACATTGTAAATAATTTATTATTTACATTCCGTTCTGTGGGATATCGTGCAGGGACAGACAGAAATATTACATAGGCTATAGACCTAAAGTCAGGCTGTTAACGAGTAAAGTTACGTGTAGAGTAACTAAATTATCAAGAAAAACAATCTACCCTAACAAAAGTCTATTTTGTTAATTTATTTATGTAACAAAAATGGTATTATTTCATATACACGTTACTTAACCGATGTCAGGATATTATTTTTTTCTTTCAAGTGGAGTTCGGCGCAACTGCAAAAACGAATACAGTCATGTACATCTTCTAGTTCTATTGCTAAAATGAGAGTCAGGCATGGTGGATCGATCGAACAAGAACATGTACATGTGAAACGATCAAGGGTCAATGTTAAAAATACCACTGCGCAATCGTGACAAAAAACCACGGGCGACGCACAACGGGCGACGGACGACGCACGACGGACGACGCACTACGGGCGACGGCAGATATGGAATTCCATACCTTTGCCATTTCACTCTGCACTAGTGCGTCATGGGTATTAAGAGTTCGAATCTCGCAAAGGACCTAATTTTAGTGACACCCACAAGCCACCGTCTAGTGGGCCTGACGACGCTTTCAAACTTGTTTCATATACCTTTCCCATACTTCATCACCAGCGCAGTTTTTAACCACTACTGGTTGACAAGACCACGGCCACGAAAATAACCAGAGTTGGTCAAATGTTTAGAATGGTCGCACTTATTTGCAGTCACCTGACGAGTTCAGAATTTTCAGTCACTGTTTCAAATTACGCTCGTGGTCACAGAATGTGTGTGACTGACGGGAGGGTGTGCGGGTACAGGTGTCGGGCAGGGTTTTTGGGGGGACATGTGCACAGTGAGTGTGCATCATCCTTTCTGAGGTCATTGGTTACGTAGTTTCTCAGAGGTGAATAATTGAGTATTTTGTTTGCCGTAAAACCCAGGGTCTGGATCCAGGCGAAAAGATTCTGACGAAATTGTATCCGCGAATGTCTCTGTGACAAATCTGGGTAGAATTTTGCCCGGCTGGAAATAGCTGGAATTTTCGTTGACTTTTGGATTATCGCCCATTGCCTTCTTTCCTATAGTTTTCCCACATGCGACATGGTGTTTTTAACGTGTACAGGAGCCTAGCTTGCCACTTCTCAAACTGTACGCTTCGTTTAAAAAAATAGGCGGGCATTAGTGGTAATGCGTTCCAGACATACTTGATTTTAAACATGTCAGACTACTGAGTACTGAAGTTAAAAGACGTCTGGGGGATGTTGCGGCAGAGTACCAGTCAAACCCCAGGTCAGCACTTACGCTAGCGCAGAACACGTACGCACGGAACGTATGTGCATTCCTTAAGGTATAGTTAGCATCCCATAATGCTTTGCGACGTCTGCGTTTCTTTCACAAAATTTCGTGAAAGGAGATTGGCGGTCACAAGCTGCGCCCTTTGAAAAGGACAATTGGCAGAACGGACGGTCTTACATCTTATGGCGTTATCTGCTAGGTTTGGAAACCACGTCCGCGAGTCAATTTCACTACACCAAAGGCCTACTAATTTCTTTGACCCAAAGCGGTTTGTTATATAGAAAAAAATGTGCAAATTTGTGACTGACAAAATTCACATAGCCCACTCCACCCAGTTATTTGATATAGTTGCCGTCAGTCTGGTTATTGGCGAGAGAATATTTTCATCACACAAGGAAGCCGTGACATCATTTATCGATTCTTATCGGGTATTTGACAGCGGGTGTGAATTAACCAGCTAATCCGCGCCTGATCCGCCACATCATTCGCAGCAGTGACGAAAATCGTTAGCGGCCGACACGTCACGCTCTCTCACCGTCTGTGCCTTTCTTTTTTCTCCTCGATCTTTCTCTGACCAAGTACTGTGCTCACAAT